AGAGTGTTGAATATACCATGGACTGCTAGGAGAACAAACAGGTTTGTCCTGGAGAGGGTGAAGCCAGAGTGCTCCTTGGAGTCAAGGATTCTAAAGCTTCATCGTCTGACATATTTTGGGCCTGTTGCAAGGAGGGACTGGTCCTTGGAGAGGAACATCATGCTTGGGAGAATGGAGATGTGGAGCAGGAGAGGAAGACCCTCGATGAGATGGATCCATTCTGTGATAGAGTGGTGGGAATGAGTATGTTCGAGATGGTGGGATTGGCACAGGATAGAACGGCGTTTAGGGCTCTTGTACATAGGGTCGCTACGAGTTGCAAGCGACTCGATGGCACATAACATAACAATGGTGCTTCTATGGAACTATGGTGTTGAAGAAGAGTGCTCTTTGGAGGCAAAGATGGAAAAGCTTCATCTCTTACACTTTGGGCAAGTTGCTGAAAGTTATTTTTTGCAAAGGGATATCATGTTTGGAAAGGTGGAGGGTAAGTGAAAAAGACCCCAGCGAGACAGACAGACATGGTAACTGCAGTAACAGACCAAAGTGTGTCAGAAATGATGAGGATGGCATAGGATAGGACAGGGTATAGCTCTGCTTTTCTTAGGGTCACTATGAATCATATTTGATGGCATGTAACAACCACAGTTAACAGTCTGGTCTCATCAAACATTCTGTTGCCATATACTTTCACATCTCCTGTAACTTTACACATGGTTCGTTCTTCCTAGAGTTCCTCTCTTTTCTACTTAACAGCAAACTCACCCACTGCGGTCCACTCAGTTCTTACAGTTGACGCTTTAGGGTAGAGACCTCCTTCACGAGGTTTCTGAGACTGTCTATCAGGAAGTCTACATTAGGAGGGCAGGCTGCCTCATTTTTCACCCATGAAGCAGATGATGGGTTTGAATAAACTAATCTTTGAGTTAGTGGCCCAGCACTTTAATCACTGTACCGCCAAGCCTTCTCCCACTTAGCGAACAGGTATTAATTCTTCCAAAATAAAACTCGATCTCAAAGCCTCGGGTTTCTGAGGCGCGAAACTGCAAGAGGAGGCACGTGCCCGTCTTTTGCAGAGCTGCTTGCTGATTCAAACAGCCACAGATTCTCAGTTCTGAGTTAGCAATACAACTCTCCGCAGACTAGGCCTATGTCACTTCTCCTGTTAGTTCATCCTCCAAAAATATTTCCACCTTTGTGCTCCCTGAACATTTTACACAAGAACCTCACCTCTATTTAATACACAATGCTATGGCAAGAAGCTGCGCTGCAATCCAGAGGCCACTAGATGCTCTGCAGGAGGCGGGGCAATCTCCTCTCATGTGATTAAATGCCTCTGGCAAACCCACTGAAGGGTCAGCTTTGGGTCCGTTCAGACTCTATGGTAGACAACAACACCACCCTCAGCACCACCACCAATGCCTCATGCCTAGAACAACATGCCTTTTACTATCTGATCTAGTAGTGATCTCTTCACAGAGGATCAAACCTACTGCCAGTGAGCTGATTCTGCCTCACAGTGACCCTCCATCAGGCATCCAAAGCTGCAAATCTTTACAGAAGGAGAATGCCCATCTTTCTCCCTCATAGCAGCTGGTGGATTCAAATTACTATCCTTTAGGTTAGCAGCCCTATACACGTATGCTTTGAACAGAAGAGAAGCTGCCTATGTATTTCTCGAAATTACTAAGCATCTAACACAACAATACAGCGGGAAAGACTCTCAGAGTTAACAGAGATGGCCCAGCCCCCTAATTTACAGATGAGAAAAGTGAAGTATAAACAAGTAAAAACTTGGATCAGTAGAATCAGAACTGAGGTCCAGTCTCCCACCGCTCCATGGCATTAGGCCATCTTCTGCAAAATTACGGCTCACGAGATCCCCAGACCCTGTTGAACGACGGCCAAGGGAGCTGGTCTGAAACCGTGGCTTTTAGTTTCCTCGTCTTTAAACACTGGGTGGTATATTATTAGGTTCTCAGGACAGCGGTTGAAGATCAAAGGACAATGAAACGGAAAATACCTTACATATTAGAAACAGACCTCAGAGCAGGGTGAGTTTGCGTAGGGGAAACTATAGCGTATACAGAGACGTCTGGGCCATTCACATCATTTCTCGGGGGCCTCAGTTTACTCATCTGTAAAGGAGGGACCTGGACGAGCTGACGGCTGCGGGCCTTCGGCTCTGCCATCCAAGCTCCGAAGCCTTCCCCGCAGAGGGCGAGAGCAGGCAGGAAAGGTCTGTCTGCGGGGCCTCCAGTTACCGTCCTGCAGCAGCGCCGTCTTCTCCGCAGCCCGGAGACTCTCCAACCATCCCGTCACCGCCATCTTTCCACCGCTCCACGATGCGACCAGCTGATGCCATGGCAACCGCTCTGCTCAGGATCATTTCCGGATAACCCGGAAGTGTTCGTGGCAGTTGCCCTCTCCCCACCCCACCCCTATTTCTTTCGTCGACTCTGATTGGCTGCCGGGTGTTCCCGCCCTCCCCGCGAAGACCAGACAGAAGACGACCCCATCCGAGAGGTCCAGGGAGGACGAGGCGCTCGGGGCGCAGTTGGCACGTGTGCATCCCCCTCGGAGCCCCAGCTGGGAAGCCGCGCCTGCTGAGCAAGTAGCGGCTGCGCTGCACCTGCCGGAGCCATCTCCACCCCCAGCTGTGAGACCGAGGTCCCCCTACACTCGGAGGGCGCCCCACACCTGCAGCCGTGTCTCACCTCCCCGCAGCTGTGCCGCTGAGCACCCCCATGTCGGGAGACCGAGCACCAGGGCAGGTGCATGGCGTAGCCACAAAATCTCCGTCTCCTAGTTTTTCCTCCTCTGTAGTGGGTGCGTTGAAAGTGGAGAAAAATAAGGTGGGTTTTTACGTGTAGGTTCCCTCCAGTTTCCACTTTCTGGGGAGGGCAAGTCCTTCGTGAAGTTATACCCCCATTTCCCAGTCCAGCAACCCCTTTTGGTGAAAGCTCTGGGGAAGTGAATTGCAGGAAGAGCAGGCACTGCACCGAATGTTTAGAGCAGCCCATAAGAGGTGTGATAATTCCCTCCTACCCTTCAAAAGGGAACTCTGGTGGTCTAGTGCCAACCTAATCGCAGGCGGGCGGTTCGATTCCACTAGCCGCTGTGCTATTGGAGATTTACTGACTGTGAAAACCCCCACAGGGTCAACTTTGAGTCGGTTCCGACTCCAGGCAATGGGTAGTAGGTAGTAGTACCTGTCGTTGTGGGTCTTCTGTTTGACATCGACTCCCTCCAACAGGTTTTCAGAGGCTGTAAATCACATAGAAGGAGATTGCCCACTTTTCTCTTGGAGCAGCTGGTGGATTTGAACCACATGCCTTGCGGTTGGCAACATAGCCCCTTACCTCTAGGCCACCAGAGCTCCCTAGTAATAGTTGCTATAGGTATTAGGTGTCGTGGAGTCCAGTATGACTCACAGCGACCCTATGAACAACAGATCCAAACCTTGTCCTATCCTGTACCGTCCTCATCATGAGCCCATTGCTGCAGTCACTGTCAGTCCATCTCATTGGGATCTTACTCTCTTTCAGTGACCCTGTCTCTACTTTTCCAAGGTGATGTCCCTTTTTAAAGGAGTGGTCTTTCCTAAGAACATGCCCAAAGTATGTGACTTTCAACTTTGTCATCTTTGCCTCCAAGGAGCACTCTGGCTTCCCTTTCTCCAAGATATATCTGTTTGTTCTTTTGGCCGTCCATGGGATGTTCAGCACTGTCCTCCAACACCACAGCTCAAAGGCATCACTTCTTTTCTGATCACTTCTTATTCATTATCCTGCTCTTAGATGCATAGCAACTGACTGAACAGACCATGGCCTTAATCAGGCATATCTTAGTCTTCAAACTAATAATACGCTCCATAATAATTTGGAGAGGTCCCTGACTGCATACTTTTCCGTTACAATACATCTCTTGATCTCCTAATTGCTGGTACCAAGGGTGCTGATTGTGAATCCAAGTAAGATAAAATTATTGACAGTCTTTTCTTCATCTGTTATGATATTGCCTATCAGACCAGTGGTGAGAAATTTTATTTTCTTGACATTGAGATATAATCCTTATTTTTTTAAATTTTTTTATTTTATTTTAATTTTTTGTGTGTGTACGGTCAAATCAGATCTGACTGGTACAGGAGGAGATTGCCCCCCCCTTCTCCGGCACAGCATCTGGTGGATTCGAACCACATATCTCTGGGATTGCAGTGCAGCTTCTTGACACTAGGCCACCAGAGCTCCCCAAGATATAATCCTTATTGAAGGCATTAGTCTTTGATCCTCTGCAGCACGCGCTTCAAGGGCTTACTTTTTAGCAGGCAATGTTGTGTCATCTATATAAGGTAGGTTGTTAATGAGTCTTCCTCAGGTCCTGATCTTACATCCTTCTTCATAAATTCCAACTTCTCAAATAATTTGCCCAGCATACAGATAAAATAGATTGTAGAGGAAGGCTAGAACCCTGGCACCCACCTTTCTTAATTTTAAACCATGTGTCCCCTTTGCTTTGTTTGCAAAATAGTCTTTTGGTCTAGGTGTAGGTTTCCATGAGCACAATTAAGTGTTCGGAGATTCCTGGTCTTCTCGATGTTAGCCATAGTTAGTTATGATCCATACAGTTAAAAGCCTTTGCATAGTCAATTAGACACAAATAGACGTTCTTCTGGTATTCTCTGCTTTCAGCCTGCATCCATCTGACATCAGCAGTGATATCCCTAGTGCCACGACTTATTCTAAACCCTACTTGGACTTCTGGCAGTTCTCTATGTACTGTTCTATCCATTTTTTTAATAATTTCAGAAATACTCTATTTGCATGTGTTATTCATGATATTGTTCAAAAATTTCCACATTCTATTGAATCACATTTCTTGGGAATGGGAACAGATATGGATCTCTTCCACTCATTTGGCGAGGCAGCTGTCCTCCAATTTCCTGGCATCACTGGTGAGCACATCCAGGGTTGCATCTGCTTTATGAAACACGTCAACTGCTATCTCAACAATTCCTAGGACCTTATTCTTTGCCAATGCCTTTAGTGCAGCTTGAACATCTTCCTTCATTACCATCAGTTCTTGAGTATATAATACTTCCCAAAATATTTCTGTGTTGGCTAACTCTTTTTTGGTATGGGGATTCTGTGTATTCCCTTCCTCTTCTGATTCTTCTTAGATCATTCAGGATTTTGCTCATAGCATCTCTCAGTATTGCAACTCTAGGCTTGAATTTGTCTTCAGTTTGTTCAGCATGAGAAATGATGAACGAATTCTTCCCCTTTTATTCTCAAATTCCAGCTCTTTGCACATTCAGTTAATAATACTTTGCTTTGTCTTCTTGAGCTGCCCTTTGAAGTCTTCTATTCCCCTCTTCTACTTCAATACCTCTTTCCTTTGTTTTTGTTTCTTGACGCTCTAGTACAATTTTCACAATCTCTTCTGACATCCATTTTGGTTTTGTCTTTCCCTCTGACTTCGTAATGACCTTTTGTTCTGTAGGAATTCCCCTCAAGAGTCTTTCATTAGCCTCAGTCTTCCCCATACCCTTTCTCCACTCTTTCTAAAACTTGTGTTGGGCAACACTAAGGCATCAGTCCTGGGAACTGAACTGCTGCCCCCAAGGTCTGGCTACTAAAGACCCCACCTCCATCAGCAAAGGGATTTTTCTTTGGGGGTGTTGTTTCTGAGTTTCCTTCCACATGACAGCTGCCCTAATACACCAGCAGAAAAGCCAGGATTCAGCCATACTTCCATGGACCCCAGGGGCATCCTGAAGGCTTTTCCTAAACGGAAGAAAATTAATGCCAATCCGTCATCAAAAGTACTTGCAAAAATTCCCAAGAAGGAAGATGGAGAAGCAGCAGGAGGTGAGCTGACCCACTCCCAGAACTGTCATGTACCTGAACTCACACCTGTTAACCTACATTATTCATACTCAGAATCAAGTCTGGGAGCTAATTCTTGTCTGTTCAGGATCTGCAAGTCAGTATGCACCTGCCTCTCACCATGTTTGCTCCTCGATCTCTAATATATTATCTTCTACCCCACATCTAGGCCTCCATCAGTCAGATTTCTCAGGAAATGGCTCTCAGAAACCTTTGCTCTCCTGGAGTTTAACTGAGAGCAGAAATACCACTGAAATCCCCAGGGTTACAAGTGTTTTAACTATCAAATTGACAAATAATAAGTGGCATAAGTGTGCATGAGTCTAAGAGAATGGAGATCTGTGAAATATAAGAGCTATAAAAGGAAGAAACAGGGCTGCTTTGTTCCTGGTAGAGTCAGTATGAAGAAATGATAAAAGTAGATTCTAAACCGCAGTTCTGAAAAGGGAGAAAAGAGGCAATCAGACATGTGTTTATGGGAACTCTATACTCTGATAGACGCTATTCTGAGTGTTAAGTTATAGCAGAGAACAGTCCGTATAAACAGCCTTTGCCCTTTACACACAGATTATGACCCACAAGCTTGAGGTGGGATCTTCAGAAGACACTGTCTAGAAGGAAGGAAAAATGACTCGGGGGCGGGGGAGGGAACTGTAAAAAGTTCATTCAGATCATATCTCAAAGCCCTGACAATATGCGCCTGAATGTTCCTTCCAGAGTGGCTGAGCGCCCTTCGGGCCCATATTGTACCCACTGGCATTGGGCGAGCCCGGGCTGAACTCTTTGAGAAGCAAATTGTCCAGCATGGTGGTCAGATATGCTCTGCCCAGGCCACAGGGGTCACTCACATTGTGGTGGATGAAGGCATGGACTGTGAGCGGGCTCTCCGTCTCCTTAAACTGGCCCAGCTGCCTCCAGGTGCCCAGCTGGTGAAGTCTGCCTGGCTAAGCTTGTGCCTTCAGGAGAGAAGGCTGGTGGACACAGCAGGATTCAGCATATTCATCCCTGACAGGTAGGCTGGACCAGTCTTTCCTCAGATGGTTTCTGACAACATCTTGAATTAACTGTCATTGTCTTAATTAGACATACTGAGAAACCAAGAGTTTAGAGAGGAGAGGTAATATAAGACCTATCATTTCCCAACCGCCTAACTACTGTTCCTCCAGGTACCTGGACCAGCCGCAACCAAGCAAGGCCAGCCAAGACTCTTCTGCTCCTCTTGATTCCCATGCAGCTGTCCTCAGAACACCCTTCTCTCATCCTTCTGCCAGACCTGTATCTCCTCTTCGAAAGGCAGAAGAAGCCCCAAGCACTCGAACCGAGGTCAGGAGCCCCCTAGCTCCGACAGGTCCCTTTCTTACCCCCGCCCCCTGCCCAGCCAAACGAAAGAAAGGGGAAGAATCTGGTGGTTGTACACAAGGTCCCAGGCCAGTAAGAGAGGAAAGCTTCCTTTATTATGAAGCCATATAGCAATTCCTGTCACGGTCACTCCTGCTTTTGCGCATTCCATACCCATCATATACCCTGGGGATCTTGGGCATAGGCATTGAGGGGCCAAGTTGGCCCCACATTTAGATTATGCAGAAACATCACCTTCATTCTTGGACAACTCTCAGTCTCACTAGGAGACTCAGCCCCTACCTTCAAAGACCTCTCTTCTTGGAAGGCGGGAATTTATTGTGCATTCTCTTGTCATAGCTCAAGCTCGGCTCTGATGATGAAACCAGCGATGGAGAAGAGACCCAGGTTAGTGCAGCTGATCTGGAATGCCTGATCAGTGGCCACTATCCCACCCACCTTGAGCAAGATGGTGAGCCCAGCCCTGCCCCTGAGACCCTGGATAAGTGGGTCTGTGCACAGCCTTCAAGCCAGAAAGCAACCAACCACAATCCCCACATCACAGAGAAGCTGGAAGTGCTGGCCAAAGCCTACAGTGTTCAAGGAGACAAGTGGAGGGCCCTGGGCTATGCCAAAGCCATCAATGCCCTCAAGAGCTTCCACAAGCCTGTCACTTCTTACCAGGTACTAGGGGTTGGTGGCAGCACTAGTCACAAATGGGGATCTGATGTAGGAATTTAAATTATTTGATGTCACAGATAACTTGGAAGCAGGAGTGGCATCCACTTCCTAAATAACATGCCTCCAGAATCCCTATGAACCTTGATAAATATTGATAGTTGTAGAGGGGCTTCAGGCCTTTCGCTCATAGGGTCGCTATGAGTGAGTCGTGCTCGACTCAAAAGCAATCAACAACAATAACAATAAGGATAACTAGTAAAAGTGTATGGGGACTTGAGGCGAAGGGGTGGGAGCAGAGGAATGAGGAGGGGCAGGAAGGAAATCATAGGGTCACACAATTTGGTAGGGGGGGGCCAAAGGAAATGGGAAAAATATGATGGGGACCTGAAAAGATGAGGTAATAGTGGGCATAATTCAATGGAGAGTAAGTTTATAAAACAACATATGGGAATGATTGTATGAAACAATATAAATGAATGAAAGTGTAAAACACAATGTATATGAATTTTGTACACAAATTTATATCTGGGATTTGCACAAAACCAAAAAAAATGGGGTTATTGATGAGTACTTAGAGATTTGCTATACTGTTCGTTTAGATTGATTCTGGAAGCCTGCAGGCCTTTTGGTTTGAATACTATGTCCAGGCATTTATTTTAGGCAAGTTACTGAAACCCTCTGACCATGTATTTAAAAAATGCATTTATCACCCCACTTGTCCATTCCGGATGCCAAGGACAGGGAAGGTGCAGGCCAGTGCTCTGTCTTGGGGCAGGAATGTGTTTCATTCACCTAAACTCGTTTTTATTGCTCTCCTGTGACTGGGGAGAGGAGGCGGGTCTTGATCTCTTTTTTAGAACTCCGTTTTGTCTGTTTCCATGCTGCGGTTGCATTTCTATTTTCTATGAATGAGTCTGCATTCAATTAAAGATACAACCAGACACACACACAAAAAAATGCATTTAAAAAAAAGGACTAAGAGTAGTAACGAACTCCAGTGTTCTTAGGAAGATTTAAGTGAGATGATGCATGTAAAGCTCTTTAGCACAAAACTGAAGCACAGTTAGCCCCAGTAAAGCTGCTCTTGTTGCTCTGATGTTGACAACAATGACTTAGATCATTATTTCACTGTTCCTGTTGCTCATCTCCATTCCTTTGGGAACCAAGAGCCGAATTGCCCAGTCCGAGCCCGATTTCCATCCAGAATTGTACTTCTTCATCTGGATGTGTTTCTGCATTTGTTAGCCAGTTGGACTGACCTTTTTGTCTTCTATTCCAGGAAGGACCTTCCCTCCTGCTGCCTCCGCACCTTCCATCTCCTTACTCGTCTCTCTTGTCTCTGCCTCCTGCTCTTCTAGGAAGCCTGCAGTATTCCTGGGATTGGGAAGCGAATGGCTGAGAAGGTTGTAGAGATCCTGGAAAGCGGGCATCTACGGAAGCTGGACCATATCAGCGAGAGTGTACCTGTCTTAGAGCTTTTCTCCAACATCTGGGGAGTTGGAACCAAGACCGCCCAGATGTGGTACCATCAGGTCTCACCCTAGCCAGCTTCCATTTCCATTTTCTGCATCTCAGAGCTCTTATTTCACAGTTCCTTACATCTGTGCTCTGATGGGAATGAACCTAGACCAGTACTCGCAGAATCTTCTCTCCTGCCTCCCAAGAACAGCCCTGTTGTTTGGTGTCATTGGGACTTTAATCTGTAATGTGGTCGGGGACTAAAAAGTATGCTCCTCTGTCCCTCAGACCAGCAAGGGCTTCCCTGAGGAAATCAGTCCTTAAGGCTGAGTGCCAGGGACAGAGGTTTTGGGCATGATGATGCTCACAGTCATTTAGGGGCCTGATAACAAAGTGCATGCCCACCCATAGACGCAAGGATTCAGAAGCTAAGAGGGAGCCCACAAACCAGTATTTAGGATTCTGGGATATCTTCCCCTTGCTCTTCCAGAGTTGCAGAGACAATAAATCTAAGTCCTGCTAGGATTAGTCCTGCCTTCAGGCTTCATGAGAGTTTAGGGAAGGGGGAATGAAGATGCCCTCTCTGTGTGTGTCTGTCTGTCTTCACTCAGCCTCTTCATCAGTACTGGATGCTCACAGCCTCTCATGTGGCTTCTTTCCCGGTGTGTGTGTCTCCTCATCGTCAGTACCGAATACCTATAGCCTCCCAGTCTGGATTCTCTCCCTGCTGGGTGTGTGGGTGTTCACTCAGCCTCAGAGATAGAGAGTGAATGTGCATGTGAGAGGGGTGGGTATGTGTATTCACTGGGCCACAGGGGGTGTGTATGATGTATGTGTGTGTGTGATGTGTGTGTGGGTGTGTGTGGGTGTGTTTCCTCATCATCAGTACTGGATGCCTATAGCCTCCCAATCTGACTTCTCTCCCAGCTGGGTGTATGGGTGTTCACTTAGCCTGAGAGAAAGAGAGAGAGTGAGTTTGTGTGTGTGTATTCACTCGGCCTCGCCGCTAGTACTGGATGCTCATAGCCTCCCCATCTGGCTTCTTTCCCAGGGTTTCCGGAGCCTGGAAGACATCCGCAGCCAAGTCTCCCTGACCACTCAACAGGCCATTGGCCTGAAGTATTATGATGACTTCCTGGAACGCATGCCCAGGGAGGAGGCTACAGAGATCCAGCAAACAGTAAGCAGGTGTCCTGTGGCAGTGAGAAGAGCCAGGCTCTGCTAAAAGGTCAGGGCCTGGCTTGAAGCCAAGAATCCCTGCTCCCTCAACTGGGAGCCCAGCAGGCAGAGGAAGCAGTGGGTCAACCAGGGTTGGAGCCTCTGAGGGGAAAGCAAGGAGAGGGGGAAGCTGTGGGCCCAGAGGAGGGAATGAATGGTTCAGGGCAGCTGCAGCAGTGCTTGTCTGGATTAGGGTTCTCAGAAGTCAGGCAGAGTTAGGATGAGTTAGATATTGAGTGGTGTCAAGACTGGGCTGATACAAGGACTAGATTAGAGGCAGATTGTGTTCAAAATTGCTTCAGGATATTGGGGTTTGAACCAGGATGTGATAGGAAGCACTGATGGTCTAGTGGTAAGATGCTGCTTTCCAATCCTGAAGGCAGCTGGTTCAAATCCACTAGCTGCTCCATGGGATAAGGATGGGCAGACTCCCCGTGTGATTTCCTCTCATGCAATTTACTGCCTCTGAAAACCTGCTGGAGGGTCAGTTGTGGATCCATTCCGACTCAATGGCACAGAACAACAAAAACGTGTAAGGATAGATGAGGGCAGAGGTTCTTAACTTTGTCACCAGTTTCTTTGAGGACCTGGTGAAAACTTTGCCTTTTTCCTTTCACGAATGCACACGTGTGCAAAGTTTTGTGTCTTTTTCAGGAGGTGTGTGGACTTCCTGAAATCCCCCCAAGGCTAAATAAACCCCTGCCCTTCAGGCTTTGGCTTTGAGTGGGGGATTCGAGTTAGGTTTGGGGTTAGAGGAAAGGCAGATCAAGAGTTAGTTAGACCTGTGTTAGTTCAGGGTTTTTAGTGTTGGTTGCTTTTTAAGTAATATCTGTAGTTATTTTAGAAAAAAGGTTGACTAAGGTTAGAGTTTTGTTTTGAGTTGGGTTAGGGAGATACACCATTTGTTCTCTGGCCTTTGGGATTGGGGGCTGATTGCTCCAGGCAGGCTTGCTCACTTAGCCTCGGATTCACTCAGGGTTAGGAGAGTCCTAGTCCCAGTTTACTTGAAATCGGCCTCTACTTTCACAGGATTGAGGCCAAGGCAGATGAACACTAAGGGCCCTTTATCCACCCATCACCCAGCCTTGGTGCTGATGATGACACTGTCACTCAGCCATGGTGTCCGGGCACAAAGAATGCCCCAGCCAGCCCCCACACCATTGGAACAGAAGTGGCTTCCCACCTGGCCTCCTGCTCCCCTATTCAGGGCCTCAGCTTTAAGAGTTTTGATGGGATTACTTATTCTCCTCTTGGGGAGTTGTAGAAGAGAGTGAAGGGATTAGAAGAGCCTGCCTGTCAGGAGAATTGAGGTGTCCTAGTTGTGAGTATCCAGGGCCCCAGAAATCTTGGCGTCCTGGGGCAGAGGCTGGGAGGCCATCTGCATATGAAAAGCCACAGTGTCTCTGGGGTGGAAGCTAATGGGCTTATCACCTCTCAGTGAGGGATGATCCCTGAGCTGACAACCCCCTGCTCTGGGCTCCCTCTCTCCTCCATTCCTCCTGGCGTGAGCACAGGTCTGAATTGGAATTACAGATTGTGTGCTTCTTTGCTTGCTTTTCTCACAGGTTCAGCTAGATTTCTGTGTTGCATTTCCCCCAGGCCAGGGCCCAGGGCACCCTGCCTGCCACCTGCTCAGGCCACTAGCCCCAGCTCACACATTCTGCCTTCAGCTCCAAATCCATGGATGCCTGCAGCTGCTGTATCCTCAGCAAGAGTGCTAAGTGCAGGCCTTTGACCTGGGAGAGTTTCACAGATCAGTAGGGGAATCATCTGTGTTTCTCCTCAGAATCCAGTGGCTATCTTCTTCTGTCTCCTTTCAGCTCTCTCTCCTGTGGGGTCAGCACTTTTTCTTCCTCTTCTGCCATAGTGTGAAGCTTAAGAAAGTTCTCAGGAGGATGCACTGGTTTCTTTCCCTGAGGCTCATCCCCTCAGACTGATCCCACAGGCAGGGATTGGCTTAAATCATAAACTGGGAATTTGGGCCCTTGGATCAGGGAAAGGCCTCTTGCTGCCTCTGGAGAGGAACCGCTTGCACGGCCTGTAGCCTATGGTCCGCTTACCCACTCACCTTTCTTTCTCAGGTTCGAGAATCAGCCCAAGCCCTCAACCCTGGGCTTCTATGTGTAGCATGTGGCTCATACCGGCGGGGGAAGGCCACCTGTGGTGATGTGGATGTGCTGGTCACTCACCCAGATGGCTGCTCCCACCGAGGTGTCTTCAGTCAGCTTCTTGACAGCCTCCGGCAACAAGGTATAGGCTCTGTCTGGGTGAGCAAGTTGGTAGGGACCAGGGCAGGGCTGGGGACTACTCCTCCCCTGGAAGGAAGACCTTTGAGTTACAGTTCCTAGGCAGGAAGCAGAGGCAGGGATGATGGTATTCTTTGCTTTGTAAGGATACCATCTCTCTCTTGTGGCCAGAGCCACTTCGAGGTGAAATAGCACCTCACCCCACACAGTGCCTGCAGGTTGAGTTTTCTGGCCTTTCTAGACTGTGGGAGGTGAGGAGGAATTACTGTTTTACAGAGGAAGAAACAGGCCCGGAGTGGGCAAGATCACCTGGTGGAGCGTTGTGTAAGCATTGTGTGGAGATAGAGAAGCAGGACTATGGGAGACCTGGGAGGACAGGACGGAGCAGGGCCTGGCCCCTGCCCTCCCAGCAGCCCCCTCTGTTATGCCAGGGTTCCTGACAGATGACTTGGTGAGCCAGGAGGATAATGGCCAGCAGCAGAAGTACCTGGGTGTGTGTCAGCTCCCAGGGCCCGGCCGGAGGCACCGGCGACTGGACATCATCGTTGTGCCCTTCAGTGAGTTCGCCTGCGCCCTACTCTACTTCACCGGCTCTGCCCACTTCAACCGCTCCATGCGGGCCCTGGCCAAGACCAAGGGCATGAGCTTGTCAGAGCACGCACTCAGCACCGCCGTGGTCCGGGACACACAGGGCCTCAAAGTGGGGCCTGGCCAGGTGCTCCCCACCCCGTCTGAAAAGGATGTCTTCAGGCTCCTAGGCCTCCCCTATCGAGAACCAGCTGAGCGGGACTGGTGACTCATGGCTGGGGCGTGCTGGGCCAGCTGCCTGACTCACATACCATCCGATCTCCGTTCCTGCCTCAACTGAATGATCCTTGCTACTTCAGCCACCCATTGTCCTCATTGAGCCCCAAAACCCCAGGGTCCCCTCAGCCCTGTCCCAGACAGGTTGCTGGCCCTGCTACCTCACCACGGGCTCAGAGAGAGTTTTGCTCATTGTCCCTTGCTAAGCAAAGAAGGGGCAGATGGCTGCTTTGAAGCCCAGCGTCCTGTGCCAAAGACCCAGGCCTCCTCCCCTCAGGAGAAGGTCTAGTTGCTGGTTGGGACAGATAGGGGGGAGGCTGCAGGAGGAGACGAAAGCAGCTGTGGCCTCAGCATCACCCAGGACCCTCCGGAGTAGAAGAATGAACAGTTCCACGTGTACTCTCTTGACCCATCCCACTTCCTGTGCAGCTGGAGGTGCCGGCAAGGGGATTCCCAGGCTGGGTGAGGACAGCATTGAAGGCCCTGGAGCCCAGTAAAGTGCATTTGACATTCAACCTGTCTGGTGTCTGAGCTGTTAGAATTCCTGCCACCCTCTTCCTGCCCAGGCAGGTGGATGGGAGCCGAGTGGGGGATCCAGAAGGACTGCGTGAACTGTCCCCCAAGTGGGCAAAGGCTGCACTGGCTCCTGAGCTCAGGAGTGCGGCCAGGGTGAACGTCCACAGGAGAGTTCCAGGGACAGACATTCATGCCTCTCTGCCCACCTATGAAGGAATTGGGGGCATATATGTTATGTGTTGTGCTGCTAACAGAAAGGCTAATGTTTGAATCCACCCAGATGCTTCTCAGTGGAAAGATGGGCTGAACGGTTACAGGATTTAAACATGAGAAGATCAAAACTGTCCCTCCCTGAGACCTTTGTTGTTGCCCTTGCACTTTGGAAACTAGTGAATGTAGTATTAGAAAATGCATAAATCATGGTCTTTACAACCCTTTTCTACCCATGAATATAATTTGTTTAGTGTAGGAGATGCGTAAGTTACAGTTTGTGGGACCAGGAGGAGCTGGGGGACAAGGGTGGAAGACGGCCATCATTGTGTCAAGAATGGTGAGCACAGAGGAAGGAGAAAGAGAGATCAGCAGAGAAGCCCCAGGATGTGAGATTTGGAGGTGAAGAGGGGTGCAGGCCTCAGGTGGAGCTCAGACTTTGTGCTGGTTTGGTGCTGATGCCAGAGCATGTCTCCCCCAGGAACGTGCTTTTGTCTGGCCGCTGTCAGGGCATTCTGCAGCTTGAGATTCGGAAGTTCAAGCAATGACTCTTTGCCTGTTGGGGCCTGCTGAGGTAGGAGCAAAAGCTCATGGTTTTGGGGGACCCCTTTGATAACTTCACACCTACCAGAGCCACAGAAAGACCCCAAAATCTGTGTAGGGGGCAGCCACTCTGTCAGGTGCTTCTACATCCATGGAAACCTAGTTACCAGGGTCTGCAGAGGCTGAGGGGCACTGAAGGAAGTCCTGCACCCCTGGCTGTTAGAGTGCTTTCGGCTCCTCCTTAAGGGCTTTGCCAGTTTCACTCTGGCCTGGTCCCTGCTAGGGCCAGAATAAACAAGTCCAGAGATGGTATGTCCAGGCTCAAATGTGAATGTTGTTTCTCCCTTTCGTTTCCCGCCTTTAGGATGCAACAGGAGGATGGTGGTAGCTGAATCTGACCACTTCACCACATCAGAAAGGGGAACTTTCCCCATCATAATATCCATGTCAGCACATAGATGGCTGCTGGCTAGACATGCCACCACCCGTGCTCCTGCACCTATTTGCACCAATCACTGAGTTCAGTTTTCATTGTTGACTCACAGACTTTACTTACAGTTGTGGTACCAAAAGTAAGATTTATTAGGGAAATGGGTTGAAGAGTGAAAGAGGCAAAGAATATCTCACAATGCAAGTCTAGGTTTAGTGCACCAATCTCAAACCAGATTAAGAGCAAAACTCAATTCCTTAATTAGTAAAAGTATTGGTTTAATAAATAAATAAATAAATAAAAAGTATTGGTTTCCATTCAGCAAGCAAACTTTTTTTAGCTGTGGCCAGCACAAAAGAAGTCTCCAGTTACAGCTTACCACTGTCCTCACAGCAATAACTTTCTACATGTCCATCACTGTCATTGCCGGGGTCTTCCTCTCACCATGGTCTTGTTCCAGTCTCCCTCAAGTATTGCTGTCCAGCATGGGAAGCATTCTCTCTTACTCTAGCCCTACAACTATTGATTATTTGAATGACCGTGTATCTGTAGTTAAGGTAGCTGGAGACCAGAAGGGGCTAACGTAATAATGGCTAGAAAAACCACCTTTTAAACTAAAACCACACACCTCTATCTGGCTTGTTCAGCAGCCTCCAAGTTCAGAGGAACAGAGGCCAGTGGATAACTGGGTACCTGGCCAAGTCAACCCATTTCTACACAGAAAGTTCCCAGCATCTTAAATATGACTGTGAAACTAGGAGTCTGATCCCACTCCCCACCCCCGTGCTCCTGCTATTCACACCCTAATCTATCTTAACCCCAGGAGACTCATACCTCAGGACACCTCCTTGATAAAAGGAACAGGAAATCAAGAGATAAAGGGGGGAATCCCTACACCCTTCCAGAGGCCCATCCTAAAGCAATGTCCTCTTGGCTGCTGGAGCTGACTCAGGAGCCTAGGCGAAAAGCTACTGAGCTGAAAGCTGGTCGAGGAACTTCTGCATCCTGAGAAAAGCTTGAATGTAGGGGTTTCTGAGTCCAAATTATACAAGGAGGAGGGAGGGTTACAGGGTCTCTCTAGCCACTTCAGAGTCTGTGGTTCTAGGGAAGAAAGAGAAACTTAATTTCATGTTTGCCAAGTTCAAGGGTCCTGTCCAGCTACTGAGCACTCCACAGATCTGACCCTGGAAGGAAACAGGTCTCACAGGCTGCCTTCCTGTCCCCAGTCCACCCCTTCAACACCGTCCCAGAGCCGAGGACCCATGAATGTTAGGCCTTCCAAAGATGTGGATCCCTAGAAATAAAGAACCTTTCTCAGCTATAATTAGATGTGGAAGAAGAATGGTCAGAGATGTGTCATTGCTGGCTTTGGAAATGGAGAAAGGGGGTCACCAGCCAATGGATGCGGGCAACCTCTGTAAGTTGGAGAAGTCAAGAAAATGTCTTCTAGGGCTTCCAGGAAGGACCGCAGACCTGCTGACACCTTCATCTTAACCCAGTGAGTCTTGTGTCGGACTTGTGTTCGGTGCCATCGAGTTGAGTATAACTCATAGCAATCTCACGAACAACTGATCTGAACCCTATTCTTTGTCATCTTCACCATCTCTGATATACTTGAGCCCATTGCTGCAGTCACTGTGTCAATCCATCTCATTGGGGATCTTTCACTGACCCTCCACCTTTCCAGCATGATGTCCCTCTCCATGGAATAGTCTCTCCTAGCAACATGTCCCAAGTATGAGAGAGGAAGCATCACCATCCTGGCCTCCAGGAGCACTCTGGCTGCACTTCTCCCAAGACACACCTGTTTTCTCTTTTGGCAGTCCATGACATATCCATCGCTCTTCTCTAGCACGACAACCCAAAGGCATCAACTCTTCTATCATCCTTACTCATTGTCTAGCTCTCAGATGCATAGCAAGTGACTGAAATGACCATGGCCTGAATCAGGTCTTCAAACTGACATCATTGCTTTTCAGTATTTTAGAAAGGTCCCTGACAGACTTCCTCAGTGCAAGATGTCTCTTGATCTCCTGACTACTGGCATTAAGGATGTTGATCATGGATCTAAAGTAGGTGAAATCATTGACAGGCTTTAGATCTATAGAAGTATGAGGTAATACATATATGGGCTTTATAAGTCCCCAAGTTTGTGACAGTTTATTACCACAGCAATAGAAAACCAAAAGGCCCTTTGTGACTCTGATTTCCCCTTAAAGAGGGCAGTGGTAGTGGATGTGAGGAGGCCCTGCTGTGAGGCTGAGCATGTATTTGAAGGCAGGTGGGAGCAGGGGAGGAGGCCTGCAGGAAGGAGTGGGGTGGGAAGAGCCCTGGGTTCAGCCCTCAGACATTGTTCAGTCTGGGCCCCCATTCATTTCAGGTTTCCTTATGAGACTTTGTACCCAAGATTCAAGTCTTCTTCAGCTGCTCTGGCCCAGCCCTGCAAAGTCAGGCACCTCAACCACGGGGCCTGGGGTGATGATGTCCCTTTTCGCCCTAGACTTGTGTCGTAAGGGTGGCCAGACATGATCAAACCTTACTCCAAGGCTTTAACTGCCCTGAGGGGAGGGAATGAGTGTGGACACAGGACAAGGGCCTCCCAGAAAGTACTTGTCTTCAGATCTGTGTAAGCATGAGAGGGAGGGAGGAAGGAGGAAGTGAGGCTGCAAACCCATTTGTGTCTTATCCTGAGGGATACAGAAGCTCTGGATGGAAAATCCAGGCTCTTTATCCTGTGTCTCCAGGAAAATTGTTGAATTTTCACACCAAGGAATTCCTGCCTGCTCTTGTCTGAACAGGGGGTTGCATCTTGGGGAAAGCATGAATCTCCTCATCCACACTCCATTGTCACTTCGGATCGACCTCACAGGTACGCTGTTATAGAGATTTTCAGCTCCCCAACCTCTACAGACACAGTCAGGAGTGTGCCAGGACTGGGCCAGGCTCAGCCTCAAGACCTTTGACCCTCCAGTCTGGCCATCAACCAGCTCGTTTCCAAGACCCTTGAAGCCAATGGAAAGTCCTGCTTCTGAGCCTCAGAATGGAGCCCCTGAGGGTTGAAGTGTCAAATCCAGGGCAGGCCCCATTCCCACAATTCCACCTGAGATGTCAAGCAAATGCTGGCCTTCATGGGAGGTCAGAATAAGAGCTGAATGCCAGGGAAGATCTCAAAGAGCACCTGTGAAGCAGGTCCAAGCGCCCCCCCCCCCCCCCCCCAAGATGCAGAGGCCCAACGGTAGAGGGCCTGCTGGTGGGAGTACATCATGAAGAGGAGGCGTCACAGTATAGTTTGC